TAAATAATATTATTAAATATATTAAATAATAATATATTAAATAAATAATATTATTAAATATATTATATAAATAATATTATTAAATATATTAAATAATAATATATTAAATAAATATATTAAATAAACATATATAATACAAAAACGGTTTCAGAAAAGAGGGAAGAAAATGAAAAAGAAAAAAAAAAGTGAAATCCGTTTTTCAGAAAACAGAAAACGAAAACAAGAAAATGAAAACACATTTTTTTCGTTTTCTGATTTCCACAAAAAGACAAAAACGTTTTTGGTTTTGTTTTTTAAAAAAAATTGCACCAAACACGTTTTTAACACCCGTTTTCATTTTTTTGCTTTGAAAACCGTGAAAAACGAAAACGAAAACGCAAACAAACGGGCCCGAAAATGTCTTTTTTTCGTTTTCAGTTTTTCACAAAAAGACAAACGTTTTTGTTTTTGTTTTTTGAAAAGTTTTGCGCCAAACGCGTTTTTAGATTGTGTTTTCATTTTTTAGCTTTGAAAGACGTGAAAAATGAAAACGAAAGAAAAAACAAATAGGGCCATCGTTTGTTCTTTCGGGAATGGCGGGCTCTTGGATTATTTAGGGCTTGTTTATTTGCGCCCAAACTCAAAAAAGTTTGAATTCAAGTTATAATTTTATTTAAGTTCACGTTCTTTTGTAAAATTTGAGTTTTAACTTGAGTTTTAACTTGAGTTGGGGATTAAAATTTGAGTTTAAGTTCTTCTTTCAACTCAAGTTCCTAAACTCAAATTCAAGTTAATGAACGAAGAGACAAATAAAACTTTACTCATATACCTTATTAAAATTTTCCATCACCATTGAGTTTTTATTAAAATATTATATAAATACAAATTCAAGTTTTGACCCATTTAAATACAAACCCAAATAGATTCTCAATTTAAATTATAACTCAAAATGTGCACATTCAAATACAAATTTAAATTAGAGTCTCAACTAAAATCATATTCAAATACACCTTAATTCAAATCAAGATCTGAATTCAAGTCACCTTAATTTAAAAAATACAAATTGAACAAGCCCTTAAGGTCTTAGGCCTCGTTCACTTCGCAGATTCGAGTTGAGATGTGACATTTTTTGAGAGTTTTTTACTGTAGTAGAAAAAGTTAAACGTGAGAGTATTTTACTTTAAAAACCTAAAACTAAAAATTCAAATCGGTGAAATGAACGAGGTTTTAATTTTTTTTACGGTTTAAATTACAATTTAACATTTTTATTACGATATTTTTTTAATGAAAATTTGAATTTTAGTTCACGTTTTACACTTAACCCGCAAAAACACGGGGCCAAAATCATTGTACTGGCAAAGGGTATCAGATTTGTCGTCTCTTACAAAGAACAAAAATTTTAAAATAAAATAGCTCGTCGTACAAACAATTATAACGTTAAAGGAAAATAGTTCAAGAAACGACAACCCATGAAAACGACAGTATTTCCAACAAAGCCACAGAAAATTAAGTAGCAAAAAGACCTCCAAACGACAATAAAAACAGATCGAAAAAAAAAAAGAAAACCAAGTATCTCATACTAAATACTCCCTTCACTTCGCTGATTCGAGTTTGTAATTCAAGTTCAGATATAATTTTATATGAGAACTTTTTACTGTAGTAAAAATGTTAAATGTAACTGTTTCTGAGAATTTTTTACTATAATAAAACTCAAATTTTAAACTCAAATCGGTAAAGTGAACAGGATCTAAATATATGAACGAACAAGATTTCTCAAAAGTACAGCCTTAAAACGACAATATCTCTTTAAACGAGAATAACAACAAATCGATGAAGTTGCTTGGGCCTGATACACTTCTTCAAATACGGGTCTTAATCTCCCTGGCCCAAAAGCCAATCGAAGCAAAATCCAGCAACAAGGGTTTCGTTCGTCCTCTATTTCTGGCTAGGTTAAATTGTTACCTTTGACATTAGGGTTTCTCTCCACCCAACTCCAACACGCACGCACACACACACCTGGAGCAGAGCGGCCACACCACCAGAAGCCGCCATGGTTCTCAAGTACGTTTCTCTCTCCTTCTCTCTCTCTCTCTCTCTCTCTCTCTCTCTCTATGCAATGTCGATTTCACTTCTTAAACTGCTATTGGATGATCAAACCAAACGGCGATTTTATGCTGTTTGCGTTATCCATGGAAAAGCTAGGTTTTTCGATATCGAACTAGAACTTGCTTTTTTTTTTGTTACTTTGAAATGATCGGATTTTCCGTTTCAGGACCGAACTCTGTCGCTTCAGCGGTGCCAAGATATACCCGGGCAAGGGCATCAGATTTATCCGTTCGGATTCTCAGGTAACTGATACTCTTATGGTTTTGTGTGTGTTTTTTTTCTCTTTGGATTTAAGCTATATGTATTTATATTTTTTTTGGATTTATTTAGGTGTTTCTCTTTGCGAATTCGAAATGCAAGAGGTATTTCCACAACCGTTTGAAGCCTTCCAAGCTTACCTGGACGGCAATGTACCGGAAACAACACAAGAAGGTTTACTACTTTCTCGAAAGATTTTTCCTTTAGTCTGTTTTTTCATTTCTATCATATTTGTATAATGCAAATTTGTGTTTTAGTCTTCTGCATCTTTTGAATTGAGTGTTGATAATGTGGTACAATTACTATAACAAACACGATCCGCCCGTCAACACGAATTGTCAGAGCCCTTCATTGGTGTTGAATTGCAAAAATTGCTAATGGGGTCTTATACTAGTTTTGTTCTAATGTTGTGGCATGGTTTTCAGGACATTGCTGCTGAGGCTGTGAAGAAGAAGCGCCGCGCCACCAAGAAGCCCTACTCAAGGGCCATTGTTGGTGCCACATTGGAAGTTATTCAGAAGAGAAGAACTGAGAAGCCTGAAGTTCGGGATGCTGCTCGTGAGGCTGCTCTCCGGTGTGCCTCCTTTCCATGCTATGAAACTATAGTATCTAGCTAGTTTAGGGTTTGCCTAGTTTAGGGAAATTGAAAAAAGTATTAGATTCTTGTAGGGCAGTTTGCCAAGTTCAATGCTTTAGAATATGCAGCACTTCTGAAAATGAACCAGTCTATCCTTGCTTTTCAGTACTCTGAAACTACAATGTGTGCTTAGTTTAGTGACTGATGAAAGTACCAAAAAGTTTTGCAGGGAAAATTTGCCCAGTTGTTTGATGCGGTATAATATGTATTGCTCTTTATCAAATGATTAACACTCTTTTTGCGTTGCTTCACAGGGAAATTAAGGAAAGGATCAAGAAGACCAAGGACGAAAAGAAGGCGAAGAAAGCCGAGTTGACCAAGTCACAGAAGACTCAATCTAAGGGTAATGTTCCCAAGGGTGGTGCTGCATCCAAGGGCCCCAAGCTTGGAGGCGGTGGTGGGAAGCGGTGATTTCATTCCGATTTTCCCTGCCGTTCATTTTTCTTGCACTGGCCTAATTTGTTAACATTTTGTCATGCTTTAAAATTTTCATGTATTTGAATGGATTCATTGGCCATGAAAGCCAGTCACTTCTTTTTTGGATATTCGATTTCTTCATATGCGAATTAGAATTATTATTGTTTTTCCTTGAGCATTTCAATGGACCATCTGGCTTATGTTGAACGTCAATAACTCGCCGTCTTTTCCCGTATATGTTAACTTTGTTTTAGTTTCCCTAGCCCTGATTGGTTAAATTGTCATGCAAGGTGAATTCTTTGTAGTGTGTACGTACCTGTATGGGAAGTAATCGATACCCACATAACGAATCCATCTTGAATTTTTTTTTTTCTCCCCAGAGCGGAAAAGGGTTTGTTTGGATCCAACCCTGAATTTAGCTGCTCGTTGATCCAACCTTGAATATAGCTACTGAACAGATTTTGACACAGCTGTTGAGTCTTTTTTTTTTCTCCTAAAAAAAGAATGGAACAATCATAGCTTTCACTCAGGTTCTAGTTAGCGTTTTACTTTCAAAGTGTAAGGTCCTGTTTTTTTCGCTGATTCGAGTTTAGAATTTAAGTTTTGTTACAGTAAAAAGCTTTCAGAAATAGTCACATCTAACTTTTTTGTTACAGTAAAAAGTTCTCACACAACATCACATCTCAATTCAAATTAAAAATTTAAATTAGCGAACCGAACGGGCTCTAAGCATCTAGAGGACTCGTGTATATGAAAATTAGAAGCCTCAATTATTCACATGCCTAGCTAGTAAAAAATCTGACGTTTTTCAGTGTATGGTGCGTCTTTTTCATTCTTTTTTCAGTTTCAACTATTAAGGAATTTTGTAGCACCCTTGTTGAATTTGAAGTGACACAGAAGAAAAGCATTAAAGGAAAGTATAGACTAATGCCTCGTTCGTTTCGCTGATTCGAGTTTAGAATTCGAGTTGAGATGTGATTTAATGTGAGAGCTTTTTACTGTAGTAAAAAAGTTAGATGTGACTGTTTGTTAGAGCTTTTTACTGTAGCAAAACTCGAATTTTAAACTCGAATCAGCGAAACGAACGAGACCTACTGTTTATTAGTGGGGAAATGGAATGCGCTTTGCCTTTGAAAATGGGAGAGATTATACAAGGCTAAATGCTTGAAGCGTGTGTTGTTTTGCTGCAGTCGTTTCTTATATTTGTAAGAAAAAGGAAGAAAAAAAAAAAAAAGGAAAAAAAGCTCAATAGTCAATTCCTTGTGTTATCCCATTTACAAGTCGGGGTTTGCAGCAAATTTTAAACCATGTACCCATCAACCCTATATCCAGCTAGTTAACGACCTATGATTTGCTATCTATTTTCTGTTACAAAGGCTCAATGGGATAGTATTTTTGGTGGTGGTGCAAACCAACAGCCTTAGCAACCTATTCACTTTTTTGATGTTGACAAAGTCCCGCTTAGTTTAAGCATAAAGTTAGTACAAAAATCTAAAATTTTTATGAGAGAAAATATCTTTTAATAAAAAAACGTTTAAATTGCTGTTTAAACTTACGAAATAAACGGGTGATAAGTTTAAACCCTCAATCATGCGTTCAATCAGTCATAGAATTTCGGTAGTAATGGTGAACTTGCTCATCTAAGCAGTCTTTTTTTTCACAGCTGTTGATAACTTGTAACAAGTCTTGTGAACATTTGTGAAATGATTGGACACTTGAAGTTTAACAGGACAACTAGGAACTAGAAAAATAGTCAATCTAGGTCTTCAAAAGATGAGACCAAGTCCCAATCGAAAAGATATTAGATATTAGATATTAGATATTGTTTTGGTGGGAGAGTTTAAGGTGGAAACTTGAAGCCTTATGGCAAAAGGAAAGGAGAGTAGCTTCTAAGCAAGTGTCGTTTTTAAGCAATTCTAATTTCCAACTACCAAAATCCGCCCACCAAATTTCCGAGATATCATCTGAAAAACAATCAATGTATGATCGTGTGTTGTGCGTGTGTGTATATATATATATATATATATATATGTATGTATACTATAAAATGGGAATTTATATGTATATATATATATACACACACACACAAGAAATAAAAGCATAGAAGACGGTTTTCTGTGTGGCACACGCATACGCGTAAGGAAAGGAGGAGTTATTCCTTCACGTTCCCACAATCATCCCCACCACAAAATGCCGGAGCCCACCCATCTGTTTCCAAGCAACTTCCAACTGCCATTAACTCAATTTTCATCACCAAATGACCAAACTATCCCTCCCATTAAAAAAATAACAATATTATATTACTTTTTTTTTTTAATTTTTTTTATCGTATTCATATACCTTTCCGGAGGTATATTAATATATTCATTTTTTTTATCTTTTATTTTTTAAAGCGTAAGCTATGTTGAGTTCTTGTAATGCATACAAGGGTTAAAAGAGCCGATAGGATTATTGTAGGGGCAAGTTACTTTGAGTTATATTAAATAAGCTATTTGGTATTATTAAATTTAAGGACTTGGAATAATTTTGCTATAAAGAAAAAGATTGCCCTACTATTGTGTAACAGAAAAAAAAAAAAATTAAAATTGGAATTCGTCATTCACTGTAATTAAGATGATGTGTGATGGTTGACTTTGTTTTTGTTGTTGAGTTACTCTATGCTAGAGTAACTAAAACGGGTTGACTTTTACACGAGGATTGAATATTCTTTATTCACTAGTCTATGTATAGTATGAATTTACAAAAGCACGTGTTTGATGTTAGTGCTGAATAAGTGATAACACTTGATATCGCAGACTCTATCCATTATATTTTCATGTGTTTTATTATTAGGTTGGAAGCTTGGTCAATGATTCTCCGGCGGACAAATCAAATAAATAAGAGAAAACAAGAGATAGTTGCAGGATTGGTCTGTGTTTGGTTTTGAAAGAGAGAACCATTTACAATTTGCAAGCTGTGTTCCATCGTACATATGGAGCAAAAACAAATAAATAATTAAGCGCTTTTAAGATAGACAAAATCATGAGTTTTTTTTTTTTTTGATAGGTACTTATGTTAGTATGTAAGACTGACAGAATCTGATATAAATTTTACAGTTTAAAATAACATCTTATCAGTGCAATATTTTTCATAGTTCATACCCCTCTCTTAAAATTCTCCATTTTTTCCTACTACAATGCCAACATTCACAATTTTTAATTTAGAATGACATGCAAAGAGGTTATAAAGGAGTAGTATGTATAACCTAACAATAATATCATATATGACTTCCTTACAGTATCTATAGTTCAAATTCTCCATCTCAATATTATTATTTTTTTTTTTAAAAAGAGGCACACTACAAAGAACTTTGGTAGAAACAAGAAGCGTGCGCTGCTAATCCACTTTATCTAAGCTTGAGCAATTCATGAAAAGTACAAAAGTTTCTAGTTTCACAAGACGTGTGTAATGCCACCAAAAGCAATGCATTACAATAGCCTTTTTAACATAGGGTACCATAACCATGGTATAGTAGTAAGAACGTTTTTATTAGATCTTTTTTATTTATCATTTTAGAATTCAGTATTCCGTACCCGTACGTTGTTACTCTGACCTTTATAAGAAATTAAGTAGACCTTCACGGGGCCTACATGATAGAAGAGAGTGAAAACTGGTTGAATTCTCAATGGGAGACTAGTTCATGCCTTTTCTACGTACTCAATAATTCTTGAGATTACTTATTATAGCCGAAAGAATTAGAGAACATGAAGTGCACCACCAAATTTCTTTTTTGAGTAGAAAAAAAAAAATAGCCTACCATAATTGATAAATCTACTTTACCTTTTAAGGTAGATACTGCAATCTAATGTACATTCCGAACAAATAAAATTAGTGGGAGATTAATTAAAAAAGTTATTACTTTTAATAAGTGCAAAGAGATGTCAGATAAATCTTTGGTCAAAGAGAAAGGGAGCTCAGAGGAAGACAATGTGAAAGTAATTGTGCTTAAAAATGATTTTTGGGCACAATTTTCACATTTTGTTTTCTACCCATTTGTCTGTTTCTTTTGTAGTTTTCAATTTTCAATTATGCTTTGCCCTTTCCATTAAAACTTGAGTCGCAAATAACATGTGGTCTCTAATGTTCTGTAATTTGCAACCGCATGGACCCATTCTGCTTCGCTCAAAGTTATTTGATTTATTTATCTATTTTGAAATTAAGGATTCACTTGTATTTTGGACTATACAAAGCCAAATAAATAAATAAATAGCTAAATTAATTAAATAATGTTTTCCATGCATGATTTGTTTTTATAATAATTCGGGTCTTCAAGACTTCAACTGATAGTGACTCTCACTTACAGAAACCTCCCATCTTAAAAGGCCAAAGGACATGGCAATCAACGCCAATTATCTTTTCCTTTTTTCCAATTGGCATTGGACTGGTTTAGTTATTATTATTATAATTATTGTTTTACAAAGTTTGAAGTAATAGCTGGTTGTAAGCTGTAACTATTGGAATTGGTCATTGTTTCTCCTAGCTTTTTAGAGAGGAAATTTGGTTGGCAGGCAACAATATTAATAACAGGCTTCCTTTCGATTCATGATTTTTTTGCCCTTTTTTTTTTTGGCGTAACTCTTTTAGCAGCTCTTGGGCCATGATTATTGTACTTGTCATTTAAATCCTAAATAATATAATGTCTCGTTTATTTTACGGATTTAAATTTTTACAGTTAAAAATTTTCAGAAAATGTCACATTTAATTTTTTTATTACATTTAAAAATTCTAAAAAAATATCACATTTTAATTCGAATTGAAAACTCAAATCTGCGAAATAAACGATACCTTAATATATGAGAGGTTGGTTTGAGAGACCCTCCATGGCTCCATGTCTCTATTTTATTTTATTAGTTATTTTCAGTGATTAATAACATCCTATCATATAACATTAACATATAATGAAACAACTTTTCAATTTCCGATTTCATGTAAACTTCCCAAGTTTATTTACATTAAAAAGGAAAAGAAAAACAAAAAACAAAAAACAAAAAAAAAGAAAAAAGAAAAAATGTGGGGCATAAATGTAACTTCACTCTTTTTTTCTCCAATAATTTGCATATTGGATTTAGGTGGTAAGTTTGTCGTGGCCTTCTGCTGTCCTCGCCAAACTCAAACACGTATTTGTACACTAAACTCTACTATTTAAGAGAGTTAAGAACCAACATAAATTTCATTATCAACGGTTAAATCTACCCAAAAAAAAAAAAAAAACTCCTCTTCTCTCTTCTTTTTCTTCTTCTGCTCTCGTTGATCCTTCTTCTTCCTTAGTTCAGACTCTTCTACTTCCTTCCAAGCCACTTCTCAATCTCTGTCCTCCATTTTTTCTCTTCTGGGTCTCGCTAATTTTCCATACCCAAGTATAAGAAAGCTCGGAAATTTGGCTCAAACCGAAAAGAAAGAGAACCAATGGCTAGCCAAGATCTGGAGCGAGGAGGTACAAAGAGTAGAAACAATTACGCATCTGGAAACTACTCGAATCCGTACTATGTGGAGACCTCGGAGCATCAATGGACTTCTTGGTTGGTTCCGATGTTCGTCGTGGCTAACATAGCTGTTTTTATTGTGGCCATGTATATCAATAATTGCCCAAAAAACAATTCTGGGTTTGAAGGGGATTGTGTGGCCAAGTTTCTTGGAAGGCTTTCGTTTCAGCCTCTGAAGGAGAACCCTCTCTTTGGCCCTTCATCTTCTACGTGAGTTTTTTTGCTATGCTCTTAAATCTTTATTTTTTTTTTATTCTTTTATTTATTGTGTATGAATTTGGATTCTGGATTTTTCTGGGTTTAGATTTGCTGATCTAAATTATGAGTTTTATGGATTATGGAATAATTGAGTTACTGTTTAAATTGTTGGGCTGCTGCTAAGTTTGTTTGTGCCAATTTTGCTTGTTTGTTTTGGGTTTGTCTGGATATTTTTTTATCAGATATGTTGTGCTTTGAATTTAGGCTGATTTGTTGTTACTAGTCCTAATTCTATGTATCCCAATTGAAAGTAACTACGCAAAAAAATCTTATTCTCTCTTTCTGTTGGCATATCTTCTTCTGGGTAGGTGGTATTTTGCGTCTGCTTAGTGGTTGGGACGTAAAATTTTATGGAATGAATTTCAATTTTGAATCGGGCAAAATCAAGGGGACTTATAGTATAAAGTAAGAGTCTTTATGGTTTCTACAATGAGTGCAATATTGAACAGTGAGTATAAAAGGGAGTTGAACCATTAAAAAAGCTAACGGAAATAAAAGGGAGTTGAACCAATATTGAACAGTGAGTATAAAAGGGAGTTGAACCAATATTGAACAGTGAGATATTCTAAAACCTAACGGAAATAAAGTTTGACTTTTTTTGCATAATGCACCTGGAGAAGAGTATTCTCTTTTTTCTCCTGAAGTCCTAACGTTGGTGCTTTTAATGTTTTACCCGTAATTGGTATTTTGAGATAAACTTTCTTATTAAGTTAATAAGTGTTTTCCTTGTACACACGAATAACATCCAGGGTTGGTAGGATATGCCTTTGAGTGAACCATTCTAATTTACTTCTCAGAATTAAATGGCTTAAACTTGCAATTGCTTTCTCAGTTTTAGTGATGCTTAATTCTACCTACCCGCGATAAACTTTCTTAAAAGTGATTTTGCTTGCAAGCAACGGATAACACGAAGAACTTATATAGAAGTTTTGGTTATGATGTGTTTTCGAGTGAGGCAGCCTTTGCTTAAACTTGAAATTTTTTTCACTTTAACTAATACTTATTTATTTTACCAACCTGCACAGATTGGAAAAGTTGGGAGCTTTGGAGTGGCGCAAAGTTGTAGATAGGAATCAAGGGTGGAGACTCATCACTTGTATCTGGTTGCATGCTGGTGTCATTCATTTGCTTGCCAACATGTTGAGCCTGGTCTTCATTGGGATTCGTCTTGAACAACAATTTGGATTTGGTATTCCACTTTTCTTGTTGTTTTGAGCCTGTCTTTTATATTCATTTGTATTATTATTTTTGTTATTCATGTTTTCGGTGCATTCTAACGTCATTAATGTTATCTGCAGTGCGAGTGGGCCTAATATACCTAATATCGGGTTTAGGCGGAAGCATTTTGTCTTCCCTCTTTATTCAGCGCAATATCTCTGTTGGTGCTTCTGGTGCACTTTTTGGACTTCTTGGAGCTATGTTGTCCGAGCTCTTAACTAACTGGACTATTTATACCAATAAGGTTCGTTGCTAAGTTTAGTCTTTTGGCTAAGGAATGAAGAATTTTGCATATGACACATCTATGTAAACTCAGTTTTTATACGTATACGATTTGTTGTTTACCATGTCTGTCAATGATTCATAGTAAATTTGATGCATCGCATAGCATTAATCCTTCATCGTTTGTTTGTTTTTGTATTCTAGGCTGCAGCTCTATTTACACTTATCGTTATCATCGCCATCAACTTAGCAGTTGGAATTCTGCCCCACGTCGACAATTTCGCTCATATTGGAGGATTTTTGACTGGCTTTCTACTCGGCTTCGTTTTGCTTATCCGTCCTCAATTCGGATATATCGAGAGCAGGCATCATCCAGCAAATTCTCATGTAAAATCCAAGCACAAGGCTTATCAGTACATTCTTTTGTTGGCTGCGGTCGCACTACTAATTGTTGGGTAAGACTATCCGCACTTGAATCTTGGAAATTATTATTATTTTTTAAATTTTCATTTCATGGACTGTATTTATAACAGTTAGTACCATGTTTATCATATTCTAGTACTTGCAAAAACTCTATTATATCTCGTTTTCAGGTTGTTAACAATTCTTATACTGCTATTTGTTGGCTTACCAAATGCTGATTTTGATTATCTTCTTCTGTAAATGTTGAATGATTAATGCAGATTTACACTTGGGTTGGTGATGCTGTTCAAAGGAGAAAATGGAAACAAGCATTGCAGTTGGTGTCATTACCTAAGTTGTGTGCCTACCTCTAAATGGAGATGTGGAAATTGAGGGGACTCGCTCCATATTTTGCTCCAATTCATACATATTGTCATTTGATTCTTTTAAAAAAAAAAAAAAAAAAACTTTTATTTGTAGTTAATTTTTAATATTGTTATTCTATTGGGATGTTTTTGTCTACATGTATAGTTTTACAGAACATATGCTACGACGTTTGGAGATCCCGTTATTTAAAGAGTACACAGAAAGCATATGGTTATTTCAATACAAAACATTTCTCTCTTTTTTCTGTTTATAATAATAATAATAATAATAATAATAACAACAATAATTCTGATAATAATTAATTAATATTATTATTGGGTGCAAATTTAGTAAACGTTTCGCCTCAAGCAATGAGGCGAAAAGTTTATAATGATAAACTTGTAATAATAAAAGTTTATAATAATAAATTTTGCGCCTCAAGCAATGAGTACATAAAGTATATGGTTATTTTAACACAAAACGTGTTACTCTCTTTTTGTTGTTTATAATAATAATAATAATGATAATATTAATTAGTATTATTATTGGGTGCCAATTTAGTAAACTTTTCCCCTCAAGAGTATACAGAAAGCGTATACAGTATACATAAAGCATATGGTTATTTCAATACAAAACATCTCTCTTTTTTCTATTTATAATAATAATAATAATAATAATAACAATAATTCTGATAATAATTAATTATTATTATTATTGGGTGCAAATTTAGTAAACTTTTCTCCTCAAGCAATGAGTACAAAAAGCATATGGTTATTTCAATACAAAACGTGTTACTCTCTCTTTTTTTTATTTATAATAATAATAATAATAATAATTAATATTATTATTGGGTGCAAATTTAGTAAACATTTCGCCTCAAGCAATGAGGCGAAAAGTTTATAATGATAAATTTGTTATAATAAAAATTTATAATAATAAAATTTGCGCCTCAAGTAATGAGTACAGAAAGTATATGGTTATTTCAATACAAAATGTGTTACTCTCTCTTTTTGTTGTTTATAATAATAATAATAATAATGATAATAATTAATTAGTATTATTATTGGGTGCCAATTTAGTAAACTTTCTCCTGAAGCAATGAGGGATTGATGGGGTATTCATTGTACTAGAACATTTTAATATCAACCATTGTTAAAATTTTAGACAAAATGAAAAAAAGAGATTTTCTAAAAATTTTCTTATATATACAAGGGGCGAGATGAGAATGTCAATTTACTAAAAGGTGCAATTGGCGTCGCCCGGACTCGAACCGGAGACCTTCAGTGTGTTAGACTGACGTGATAACCAACTACACCACGACACCAGTTGTTCAGTGTTTGATCAATAAAACCCTTCTACTAAGATTATTTTCCCTCGATCCGTTTTTACCTTTTTTTCGTTTTATTCAATGGCAGAAACACTTGACAATATAGCTATAAATTCCGACGACTTAACATAATGGTGGGTGGACCCCATTATGGTGGCGCATTCAAAGAAAATTTAAATGCAATTGATGTTCCCATTTTTTGGCTACAATTGATAAGTCAATAGATTTTTCCGCTTTATGTCAAATTTTGAAATAAATTATGTTTTAAGGGATCAGAAAGGATAATGCTTCTGGTGCTAAGAGTTATCGATTTCTATTTACATGAGAAATAGTTCAACACTTAAAAAAGTTAATTGATGGAGAGCATGTTAGTGAGGAGAAGTCCAATTTCACTAGGACTCGTATTGCCTTTTCTCTTCCAACTCTTAAGGTGGTCAATCATGTCGTTTTCTTTATAGTGGCCATCTACGTCAATAATTGCCTTAGATTATGTTGCCTTTTTGATTGTTTCTAAGACAGTTATATTGACGTAGATGGTGATTATAAAGAGTGCAACACATACCAAGAATCAATCTTGACTTTTCAAGAATATTGTAAATATTTTGGGTAAGAATTTGTTTCTTGGTTATCTTCTTCGTTAAAGTTCAATGTATGATATGAGTTTCAAATTTAAATTGTCCATTTTTCAAGAATTAGATAAGAGAGAAAAATACATAAGAAGGACCTAGGGGAGATTTTCCGTTTCATGCCTCACTTTTATTCCATGGAAAAACGAGAAATAAAAGGAAAAGCGCAACTACAAAACGCTATACCACCCCCCCTTCCACTACCAAAACATTACTTGAGTACAACAAATAGCACTGTTAAACAGCAGTTTCTTTCAAGTCCTAAAACGAGAAAAAAAAAAAAAAAAAAAAAACTATCCTATAACATCTAAGATTCATACCAATGGCAACTAAAAAACTCGATCGAGCGCATAATTAGTTAGTCAAATTAGAGGGAAGAAAACATCTCAGTATCTGTAACCAATAGGCATTCCAAGCTTGTCCAAGCGACCGGAACCCGGATAGGCTTTGTTCATAAAATTGGCATGCAATGTAGAGAACCTCTGCCCACTCTGTCTTGATTCACCAACGCCGTGAATCGAGTACCTCTTCATTGAACTCGACCTCTCGTACTGAGGCCTCTGCTTCGGGGCGCTGAGAGACCTCAGTTTCGCCTTTGAAGATTCGGTGCACGCCATGTAGTTCGGGTAATCTGAATAGCCACTCAAGAAGCTTCTTGAGCCATCACTCTTTGAGGGAGTGAAAGGACTTCTCCTCGAGCTAGCACCCTTCGACGAGGCAGAGTAGAACTGCGGGCTGTTGTTGGCCGTGCAGAAAGAGGCCTCCTCAACGTCGTTGTTCGAGAGTTTCAGCGGGGTTAAGGATTGAACTTCGTAAGAGGAAGGGCTGGGAAGTGTGTAGTGTGTTGTGGAGTCCTTTGAGGTAGTAAAGCTATGGCTGCATTGGTCGGAGGAGTGAAAGAGGTTTCTCCTCTTGGGTGTGATGTGGGGTTTCCCAGTATCGATTTCGAGAATTCTGTCGCTCTTTTCATCATCTGTCGCGGTGTTCCTTACCGAAGAACTCCTTAGGTTCCCTGATCTTTCATCCAATTGACTCTCTGATCGACTCCCACCGGAATAAGTCTTGTCATGATCACTGATTGTCCTGCTGTTCGACTTGGAGCTACTTTTCTACAGTTTAATGGAAGAAAATATAAGCAACAAAGATTAGATCGTCGTGATAAAAAAATTTTAGGGAGGAGAGAAGTAATGAACATACCCTAAGCAGTGATGGTTGGTCATGTTTTCTGCTCTTGCTCCTGATAACATGTTCAAACTTTTCAGGAGTTGCCGGTCCCTGCTAGCAGAAACTTTGTACACTTCAGAGGCTACTTAGCAATTAATTCATTAAAAAGCTGAAGACTACATGTCACAAAAAATTGTGTAACGACTTGTCCATGTCAATGTATCTAGCAAATTTTAAGGGAAAATCATTAAAAATTTCTTTTAGTCAAAGAAAATTCTCCTAGTGATTCAAATATAACAATGTTGGGGGCACCAATGGTGTTCAATATTACACACTAACAAAAAGTGGGTCCTACAACTTGAGCCCTACAAATAAGTCCGCCCTTCTATTAGTTGTGGTGTTGGATACTATGGGGTTGTTTGGTTGGGAAATTCGTCTCCTGATTCGAATCATGGTTCGTAATTCGCTACAATATTTTTTCACACAAAAAACACACGTAAATCGAAAATGATTCTAATCTCATGGTTCTAATCCATGAACCAAACGTCTCCTATAAGTGACATTAGCATTTTTCATTCAATTATAGAACAAAAAAGGTGAGTTTATAATGCTTCATTAACAAAAAGGGAAAGGGAAAGGTGAATTCATAAGGTAAGTTGGGTAGGTTAACAGACGGGAACAAAATCCAAAGAAACTCTGACCTCTTTTATCAAAAACTGCAAAAGTTAGTTCAACATAAACCTTATGGCTTAAAATATGTGTCTGAAGCTTCATATACAGGGACAATATGTACGTAAATATAGACCTTTATAGTAATAACTACTGAACCGCAATCCTTTAAAGTCATAAAGTCTATCTACTGAAAAGTCTTCTAGAGATGCAAGGCAAAAGCCAAAAGGTCCCCACATTCCATTAAAATTTAAAAGCATGAACTTTGAAAACTCAAATATTGGAGGGAGAAGAATTTTACTCACAGGATGATGGAAATTTGAAGACTTGCTATTTGAGTGCTGAAATTCGGAAAGTTGGGATCGTCCGCCGATGGCTCGTGCCTGTGCTTGCATCAAAGCTTGCATGCGATGCAGCCACTCCGCCGTCCGCTTCCTTTCGATGTGACCTCTTACCAATGCTTGTAATTTCACCAATCCCTTTAAAGCTCTCAACGCTCTTCTTGCCTTCAAAAACATTTATGACTCAAAGACTTTAGCAAATTTCACCAATAATGCAAAATGTTCTAAATCAAGTATTCTGCTATAATACGACTGATTAAAAGCAAAATCAAAAAAAGAGAAATGGTCAAATAAATTCAATGGACCACATTGTCATCACACTGTTTAAGCTACTAAGAACCTTAAATTCAAAGAGTCTTGAGAAAAGGGCGGCAAGGAGGAAGCATTACAGCATTCAGACTTGACATGGAAATTTGAACATAATAAGCGCTTAAAAGATGTGGTTTTTCTGAGCCACCATGAATTCAATGTCTGACATGATATCCAGAAGACAATGACATCTCACAAGTTACCCCCCCGCAAAGGATAAAAAAAGAGTGTATTGTATTTGCATGTATTGTTGTACATCCTTTGACGGGTGATCCGCTTTTTAATACAACATTGAATTGCCCAACTAACCCAAACTTTTATTCCTTTTATAAAGTCAAATTCACATTCTATTTTTTTTAAGAAAACATCACCCAAGGCCAACTTTCCATATTCTGGGCCCACATTCTGCCCCCAGGCCCCATTAGTTTAGGTTTATAAATAACATAGTCAATAAAGACGCTTACTATATACCCAACAACTAATAGAAAGATCTCGTGCTCTCTATTAATATAAACACCACCAGTATCGTTTAAAATTATCCGTTAAACAAGCATTAAGTTGAATCAACCTCAAAAGAGTTATAAGGGCCCGTTCACTTCGCAGATTTGAGTTTTCAATCCGAGTTGAGATGTGACATTTTTTAAGAGTTTTTCACTGTAACAGAAAAAGTTAAATGTGACATTTTCTGAGAATTTTTTTATTGTAGAAACCTAAAACTGAAAACTCGAATCGGTGAAATAAACGATACCAAGTCTTACCTATCTAGTTAAGTTTTTTTAAACTCATGTACACCAAAAGAAGAGATACCAAATCGGAATCGAATCTCGGGATCTATATTTGGTTCTGAAATCTACTGCACATGGAAATTAACTACCCCTAGCTCTGCAACACTCCAAACCAAAAAACCTTTACAGCAGTTTTTAACCATTTTACTTCAAGGGAAAGA